AACCAACACAAGTGTCTGTAAAACCAAAAGACCAAGGACCACATCTGGGGACTCGGAAGTAAAAACTGTTGAACCCCAAAAGCAACCTTCAAAGAAAAAGAAAAAATGAGAGAGATCTGAAGTATCCAGCTTACTGATGAAAGGACTGCAAAGAGAAAGAGAAGCAGCTCTGCAGACGTAGGAGGCCAGGCTCCCTGGCCAAACGTAAAGAAAATGGCTCAGAAGGACACTAAAAAAGGAGGGGCAGAGGTCTCCAAAGAAAACAGAGATTTAGAAGTCTCTACCGAAGAGGAGAAAGAAACTGGCAATATCAAAGATGGCTTTCTCTGAAAAACAAAGAGGATGCACAAGAAAAAGCATAAAGAGAAACACGGGATGGGGGAAGAGGTCATACCATTACGTGTGCTGTCCACGTGTGAGTGGATGGATCTGAAAAGAGTATTGTGCACTGCAAAAAGCCAGTGTGGCTTCTTTAAAACAAAAACAAAAAACAATAGCCCAAATAAAATTGGAGTCAGAAATGGAAACAGACAGTGGAGTACCTAACTTCATCTGGAATGAAAAATGAAAAAATGGGCACTGGAGAGTGTTACCCCAGGGAGAAAGCCACTGTGACCAAGCCACAGTTTGTGAGTCAGCCACAGTTTGTGAGCAGGGTGATGGTGAAGATCCTCAGCCCAGTGCCCAGGCCTGGCAGGAAACAAATCCGGGATGCCCTGAGTGCCATCTTGGAGGTCGTCTTCCTCCACCTGCTGGACAGAGACATGGAGTGCCAGATTTAAAACACTCGAGGATGCGTGCTCAGTAGTAAATGCACATGCAGAAGTGAAAAAGAAGCACGGCTGGACACTTGCGATCTTTTCTGGTTCACGAACAGGGATATTGGCAGAAGATTCGGGCTGATAGACAGGCCAAACTCAATCAGCCTCAGGGAAAGAAAAGAGGCACTGAGAAGTTAATCACCAAAGCTGAAAAACATCAGCCTGGAAGAGACTCAAGATGCAAGTAAACACATTAGATTTTCTGAATATGACTGATAAGAATTGCAGTTCACCTAATATCTCACTGAATATTTGAGCTGTTCTTAGGAAAAAAACATTTTTATTTTGGGAGTACTGCATAACAAGTGTTTTTTCAAAACCTATATTTAAATAAAAGAAATATCTTTGTGTGGCTTTCCTTCCCTGCTAACGAAGGTGATCCCCGCCCCCCACACACACACGTTACAACAGCCAGTAGCAGCACATTCACTTTCAGACCAACCTAACCTTTTCCCAGCATGCCTCAGGGGAAGACTCAGAGTCAGGTGTTACACCTTAGATAGAACTACATTGTTAGCTTAGCATAAGTAACGCCATTTTGTAACGCACCGCCATTTTGTGACTTGTGACATGTAATAGCACCACCCTACAACCACGATAAAGAAACTAGACACGCCTGGGTGGCCTATAAAACCAGGGCCTCCACAGAAACTACTCGGTTACTCTGAGAAATCAGAATGGACACACACACATACCCAATGGAGCTGAGTCCTCCCTCAATCTTGGCTTTCAAACTGTGAGCCGGAGCTAACAGAGTCCTCCCATGGTCTCGGATGCGCCATCACCGGCTTCTCGGAACATCATCTCGGTTGGGGCTAACCCCCGTAACAACGTCCGCCAGCTCCAGCCTGTCTCCTCTGGCCAACTGCCCACCTGCTTATCCACGATGGCGCTGAGAGTCCGCTTCGGCATAGACTCGGTGCTCCAGTGTTGGAACCCGTGTCACGTCCACTGAAGCCAGCCTACGACAACCTGCGCCACCGTCGATTTGATCCTTTGTGAGTTTTTTCCCCCTGCAATAAATATACGTTCAAATGCCCATCTGCGTCCTCTGTCTGCGAGCCTCTCACAAGGGAAGCTTGAACCGTAAGCCGTTACTGAATGTCACACCCCACTTGGTTAGGCACCCTCTCTAATTAGCTCAGGATTGTCCTCTTTGCTACAGCAAGACAGTGCTGTCTTGGTGGAAATGACCTAACTCTTCCCCGTGGACATGCCCAGGCCAATCCATCAAGAGCAGTAGATTGTGGGTCAGGCGGTGGAACAGCAGTAACGTAAGTGAACTCACATGGGCAATGTTCTGGTTCATGTCCTGGGACCTCTTCAGCTCACTGTGTACATACATGCCTATGATCTGGGCTGGCTGAGACCTGGGGTTAGACCATGACACAAAGGCCTTCGTAGGATACCTCTCTCTCTTTTTCATAGAAGAAGTAAATAAATAATGATTTTTTAAAAGTGTGAGATTCCTCATCCTTGTAGTGAAGCAACAATCTCAAAACTGTTTAATGTTGTCTTCTTTCTTTTCCAAATTGAGATAGTTTCTAGACTGCATAAATAAATGAGTGAGCAAGTATCAAGCTTTTCAAAATTAAGTCACTAAGGGTTTGAGATCACTGAAGTCTGAAAAGGGCTATACCGTAACAAAGCTAGGTTCTAGCCTCCTTTTCAAATTTCACATAATATCATTTAGGATTAGGATTAGGCTTGACTGCAAAATAAAAATAGCTTATACAAGAGAGAAATTTATTTCTTCTAATGTATAAGTCTGGCAGTAAGTGCTCCAGGGCTGATACAGCAGCTCCATAGTGACAGGGACCAAGGAAACTTATTTTATTCCCCTGCTGTGTATAACATCTATCTTAAGATCACATCAAGGTTCAAAATGGCTGCTGTGGCTCTAGCTTTTACATTCTTATTCTAGCCAAATAATAATAATAATAATAATAATAATAATAATAATAATAATAAGGAGGAAGTTAGGAAGAAGGCACACATCACGTCCTTTAAGGATACTTCCTGGAAATGACACCGACTGTGTCTGCTCACATCCTGTGGGCCAACAGAACTTAATAACATAGTCCACAACTGGCTGCAAGTGATGTTGGGAAATTCTATTATTATTCCCTATATCCGCGTGTTTGGCTACAACTGAAGATTCTGTTTGTTACTGAAGAAGAGTAAAACAAAACAGATATTGGAAGACAACCAACAGTGGCTGACATAGCCCCTAAGAATAATTACACCTTTTTCTGATACCCTGAAGAGCAAGCTTCATTTTGACAGCCATTAGAGAAGGTAAGTACACGTTATAAACCAGGAAAGTGAGATTCAATTGTGAGTCTCATGTTTGATTTCTTTATAAAAAACCTTTTTCATTAATATTAAGAGTGTTCTTGAAAACTACAGAGAAATAGATCTTTCTCTCGGTGAATTGACAAGGCAAGTTGCAGCCCTGTTAAATTCCCCCTTCATTTCACAAAGTTTACGACACTGGCTCTGACGCTCAATATCTGGATCTTGGTCACTGTCTCCTGTTGGTCTCCCAGTTTCTACTCTCTCCCTACTGCAAATCATCCATGTGGCTGCCAGACTTAGTAAATCTCCCTTGTGTAAAACCTCCTGGGCTGTCCTGGTAGCCTAGTGGTTAAGGGAGCCAGATTCCTCGTAGTTCAAGTCCAGGCCCTAGGATCTTGAGAAACACACTGGGTACATTTGGACACATGCCCAAAATCCCCAACAGGAGGAAGAAATGGAGGAGAAGGGATTGTGACGTGACCATTCTCCATGTGGGTGCTTCTGCCTCCCACCACCCTGGTCTGTCTCTTTCTGGCAAGCACACACAGCACCCTCTGGCAACTAAAACAAAAGAAAACAAAACCCTCTTGGGGCTCTTCTTTGTCTGTAGGATAAAGGATTACGTCCTCGGCTTGGCATATATGGCCTGCCCTACTAGCTCCTACTTCCTATCGGGACCCTCACCTCTGACTTCCACTCACGTTCCTATGCCCTGACCAGGCCTTTGTCGTGGCACATTACCTCCTCTGTTTGGAATGTGCTCTTTAGGCTGAGATTCCTGTTTATGTCTAAAAAAGTGGTTCTGTTCCTCCCCCATCCCAAGAAAAACTGCTCAACACACTGCTCCCTGCACTGTGTTCCCATTATCCTTTCTTTGTACTATCAGGCCATAATGATCTCTTGACAAATTTCTTGTCGCAATTACTCTGTAAGCTCCTCAGAGGCAGAGAACATCATGTCTTATCAAGCCGCCTGCACTCCCAGGGTCTGCCCAGGGCCTGCCAGGAATGAGGAGAGGCTTGGCAAAAGCCATGGTCAGGCGAACCCAAATACAGTCATGGGAATATTTCTTTCTGGTAGCAACCTGAAGCATATCTGTGTTTCTGAACCAGATTTAACTAAACCTCCTATAGTCGAACAGATTGAACTGAGGGCTCAAGATACATCAGGGGATGGGCAGATGGTATGGTGGTTAAGGCACTGGGCTCCCGCATGGCTGACTGTGGTTTGAGTCCTGGTCCTGGCGACTTGCTTTCTCTCTTTCGTACTATCAGGCCATAATGATCTCTTGACAAATTTCTTGTCGCAATTACTCTGTAAGCTCCTCAGAGGCAGAGAACATCATGTCTTATCAAGCCGCCTGCACTCCCAGGGTCTGCCCAGGGCCTGCCAGGAATGAGGAGAGGCTTGGCAAAAGCCATGGTCAGGCGAACCCAAATACAGTCATGGGAATATTTCTTTCTGGTAGCAACCTGAAGCATATCTGTGTTTCTGAACCAGATTTAACTAAACCTCCTATAGTCGAACAGATTGAACTGAGGGCTCAAGATACATCAGGGGATGGGCAGATGGTATGGTGGTTAAGGCACTGGGCTCCCGCATGGCTGACTGTGGTTTGAGTCCTGGTCCTGGCGACTTGCTTTCTCTCTTTCTCTCTGGTCAAATTAAAAATTAATGAATTAATTAATAAAAAGGAGAGGGAGAGAAAAATACATCAGACATTCATTTATTAACTTGTAGAGCTAGATGGGGTGCCTGGCATCTAGCTAGGAGGCAACTGTTATGGTCTGAGGGAAAGATGAGGGTAAGTCACTAGAATCAACTAAGAAGACCAGTTTAAAAAATAAAATAACAGTTTATTTATTTCTTCCAGGAGAGAGAGCAAGCAAGAGGAAAATAGTGAGATAGGCATCCTAACAGAGTTCATGTCATGATCCGTGCCCAGCCTCCGTGGGATCATAGGCGCATCACTTGGTATGTACAGGGGAGATCACAGTACATGAACTTGAGACCTTCCCGTGTGGCATCAGCATCACAGAGCCTTGCGTGACTGCTGTGCCACCGTAGCTGGCATTTTAGAGCCACCTTCTGGTGACAAACCTGCAGTTTTATCATTAGTATAACAGCCACATTCTTTCTCATACTAGATCAATGCATATCAACATTTTCCCCCTGAATAAGATGAAGCTAAAGATTTATTGCCTTCTTAATGAACAGAGAGTTGAATAGACCATGTACTAGCTCTTACTGTTCTGGAAGAGGTTTATTTTAAGAACCTCAAAACAGCAGAGGCTGAAGCCTCCACCCTTCACTCTGAAGATAGAAACCTAAAGCACTCACCTTCATTTCCAGTCTCGGCTCTTGCATGCTCCACATGGATGGTAGAGTGATGATCTCATTTTTATCCACCCAAGCAGGTTGCAACTCAGTGAGGAAAATGAACACTGGTACTGAGGGGAGCATTCTCCGGGGTCTGCTTCCTTATGAAAAACCTGGATGACAAAGTTTTCTTTAATGCACTTTCTGGAGCTGGGTCTTTACCTAAAACAGAGACTCAGAAAATTATTTAGGACTTCTCATGGCGTTCATCCCAGCCCTAGGTACCCCAGATGTTAGTGTCTCAAGGACAGCGGTCATGTGTCCACTTTTACATCCATTTGCAGTGTCCAGCCCAAAGTAGACAATAAATGTCAACTGATGGTTGTGACCTTACAGATGAGTTGACACAGAAGAAACCAGACACACCGCTGTTACTATCCTGTACTTATTCATTAAATTTGTCAAGTGAAAGAAGTATTTTATTGGAAAAAAATAGAAGTTCCATGGACATAGATTCCACAGAAATCTATGAAACTATTCTAAAATAATGAAATAAAGCCATGCTTGGAGCCAGCAGCTGTCAGAGTGGTTAAGGCTCTAGACTTCTACATGGCCAACCAGAATTTGAGTCCTGGACCTGGCAACTTGAAAATTACACCGGGTACACGTGCGTGCGTGTCCAAAATCCTAGAACGGGAATGGAGAAGGGATTGTGGTATGGTCATTCCCCCTG